ATACTAAAAGGCCAGACAAATATGAGGTTGATTACTACTCAGTGACCAATCACTGTGAAAAAAATTTTAAAGTGAGGAAGAACGAATATCGGTGCAGAATAATGTATGAATTCATTTTATTTTGTTAAGTTCTCATCAGCTGCTTACAACGTTATTATAGATATTGACATAGTTATTTCTACCAATGTAACTGCTTTGACAGATGCATGTAAATTTATATACACAGTTGATGGCAACATGAAAAGGATACCTGTCAACCTTTAATTGTGTTAAAGAACATGTTGTTTGAGATAGGACAATCAGTGTAGCCGCAGGATAAGTTCATGCCAATGCAGTTTTTAGTCTCATATTGATTGACCCTGTGACATCATCATCTTTGAATAAAAATAGATTTTTTTTATTTGCTGTGGTTTCTTTGAACTTTTTTATCTTTATATTTTTCATATTTCTCAATACATTTCAGTGGGTACCCGTTACATCATGTTAATAACGTTGATTTTTCAAACACTTTAGGTTATAAATAGCTAATAAGAACCTAATGAAATAAAATAAAATTCATATTATCCTTCATCAATCTTCATCCTTATTCACTTAGTAAGAATTTTGTTGACTGAATTTCTCATGTAATATGAGACTAAAGATTGAGTTTTTCTTATTTACAAAATTCGGTATCTGTTTAAGTGAAATGTTTTTTTTAAAAAAAAAAGTGAATAAAATTTAAATTGGGTAGGTAATTGAAATAATAAACAGTAAGAATATTTATAATGAACATTGATGATATTTGAAACCATGCATAGAAGGCTTTTAATTAGAATTACAATTTTTGTATTCTATTATAGATATTTGTATATCATTATACATATGAAGCAAAATAATATAATTTATAATGGTTAAAATCATGAGTCAGTTAAAGCTAGACCACCATGGAAAACCTGGAAGCACTGGAAGGCCGTTTCGTTCTATTGTGGGACTCATCAGCAGTGCGCATCTACGACCTCGCCCTCTAAGAGATTCGAACCAAGGACCTACTGGTTTCGTACGCGAGCACTAGACCACTAAGCCGCCATTCAACGGTTTTAATGTCTAACTTTAACTAATCCATGAAATTTAGCTACGCATCCGCCATTGTCTTCAGTGAATTACTATCTCACAACAGACCTGGTTGAACTCTACTGGTCACTACTTCTCACAAGAACTCCAGAAAATACCTCTTGAAGCCAGTCACTAGTGAGTATATATTGATTAATATCAGATGGGTTTTGTGGATAATATAGTAATTTCAATGGTTAAGATCATGAGTCAATTGTTCAGTGCTTCCAGGTTTTCCATGGTGGTCTAGCTTCAAATGACTTATGATCTCAACTGTTGAAATTACTATAATATTCACAAAACGCATCTGATATCAATATAATTTACATTAATAATACATGTACCATGTAAATTTTAAATGTATTACTTAAATTTTGGAAATATTTTTGAACTTCTCTGCAATGAACTTAATTTTGGACTTAATTTTAAATTACGAAACAATTTTTTTCCCTGGAACTATAGAAGATTGAATGTAGGCGATAATTCTTATTTCAATATAATAAACATGATATGAATAGTGGTTTCGTTCTTATCGACACTTATTTTCCTTTATTTTACAAGAGATGAAATTAATACTTGGGAAACAAGTATTGTGTGTGTTGATTAATAGTTATCTTCTTTTATATGGTACTGTCATTTAACTTTTCGGCTGGATACTTCATTGCTGCTAAGCATACGATGTCTGACCAGTTATCAGCTCTATATCCTGACAAAGAAGGATAATTATTTGTTCTTCTTCACTGATCGTTTCTGTTCAGTTTCCATATTTAAATTGATATGATGACAAATACATATGGCATTAACCGGGATGTAGTGAACTGTCGTCTCGTCCTTATAGGGTATTACTTAGCAGTTCGCATCACTGATGGGACTCGAATCCAGGACCTTCGGCCTTACGCGAATATCTGACCTCTTGACCACTGGACCGACTTCCATCCGTGTTAATGTCTAACTTCAACCAATCCACTATTGTGCGTACTTTTAATGAGTCCCATACTAGGACGAAGTGGCCTTCTAGTCCTCCCCGGTTTTTAGTAGTGGTCTAACATTAGTCGGTTCATGATCTCAATAATCTCCACAACCCATATTGATAATCTAAGGGGTATTGGATATTAACAGCATTTTTTGATTCAACCAATTCAAATCTCTCTTATATTGTTTTCGAGGACTGTGATTGATCATTCTGCTTGGGTATTAGTGAATCCCAATAGAACTGCCTCGATATTAACATCGGTCACAGCCATTTTTAGGGAGGGCTGGTTATTGTCTAGAACCTCAGTGTTGAGATTTATATCGGAAATTGAACTCAATGAAAGATCATTTGCAATCATTACCTCAAGAAAAGATTGGAAGTCATATAGTTCATCTCCTTTCCATAAGCGAGTGGTTATATGAAATAAGTAGCTAAGTGAATAACGAGTTGGTGTTTAAAGTGAAAGTTGTTGGTTCAAGTCTTGAAATGAACGGTAACACTAGAATTCATGTACTTTCATGTGCTGAGTCTAAAAATAGGAGGACATATGTGTTTTTGATTCCACTCCTAGCCACTAATCAATTCTGTATGAACATTACCTTATTTTCATCTGAAAATCATGAATAGTTTCATTCACTGTATGGATATATTTATCTCAGTTATCATGTACTCAACTATATATGATAGTTTCATGTGTTGGAGTCATTTATTATAACCCGGTCAAACTTATATAGATTCAGAAATAATGAGTCTTTATTAACTACAATTTTAAGTGTCATCTTGTGATATATATATATATATATATATATATATATATATATATATATATTGAAATTACGGAGAAAAGTTATAGTTCTTAGCTGAATACTATTGTTGGGATTTCATTTTTTTAAACTGAATAGCTTAATGATCAATCTATTATTCTAAATGTATACAACAATAGTAGCAGAAAAATTAAACTATCCAGGCCAGTGAATGCAATATTACTAAAATGTTTTCAAATTGTTTGTAAAGATCGTTTACTTTGAATTCACTTGGTATTTTTTAGCTTGTATCTTCCCATTGAGGTTTAAGACTGCAATTGATCAGTCTGTTATTGGCATATGTGATTTTAATTTATGTTTGAATAATAAATATTAGATGTACTATCGTAGTGAAGGAGAACACAGGTGAGGAAAACCTTACTGTACTTAATACAAAATTACTTGGTAAAATAGAAAAACGATATAGTAAATCGTTAATTTGCAAAGTATCAATGCATCATATCAACCTGGAATGTTCCTGTTGCAAACATCAATCCATTGTCTCACATTTTATTGTTCATGCTACTTCTTACAAATTTCATTGTGTTGTCGCTCTTCCTTTTTTGATCTCCCCTCATCTTCTGCTGCCAAACATTGCGTTTTTAACTTGTTTATATACTACTTACAACGATATAAGTAGTGCGCACCGCACTATTATTTATTCCTTTATTTATTCTAATGTTTATTTCCCTCAAAAAGAAAAAATATATTATTAAACAGAACTTAAATATGATTTCGTTTAGAATTGAGAAAAGTTTCATCAGCAGATCTTTACTTTTTCTAATTTAAAGATAAAACAGAAGAAAAAAGAGGAATTTGAAAAATAATAACAAGTTTGATCAAAACTAAAACAAACATTGATGAATTTACTTTGTATGATTTACTTGAATCTTTTTATTGATGTCTAGAACTGTAATTGATCAGTCTGTTTATTGGCATATATGCATACTGTGTATATTGTCTTGATGATGCCTAGTAGTAGAACATTAATAAGTAAATAAAAATGTTTACATTTGAAATGAGTTAAGTTAGTAAAAGTTGAGTGACTGGATTATTAATTTAGAAGAAGAAGAAAAAAAGAGGCAAACAAACATTTACTATTCCAGGTATCTATTTATGTAACATAATTCAAACATAGAACAATATTAAAATGTATAAACAAATAATGATGAAATGAAATTGAAAAAAAAGAAAAAAAAGTAAGATGACCTGACTGACCCCTTTTTTTTCTTCTACCCATACATTAATAAATTAATTACTGTCAATCATAATTAAAAAGAAATGTTCATTTATGTTTTGCATTACTTCTTATCTTCTATTTATGTTTTTTCTCTCCATTTGTTAATTTATGATATACTTTCAGTAAGTAATCACTATAGACATTAAACTTTATAAGAAATAAGTTGAGTATTACATCACTACATTAAGAATTACAATTCATAGATTGTTTTTTTATTTAGAATTTCCATCTGGCTTAATTATGAATTCGTGTAAAAATGATGCGCACATATATATATATATACAGGCATGAACACAGACTCTATAAATGGTGTATATACTCGAATTGGTTAACTAAATATTAAGTATTCACTGACTAGTTAACAAATATGTATTTGTGTATATATTAAAAATAATTATATAAGAGAACATATTTCACTATTAGTTGATTATTTAATAAATTATAAGGTTTTAATTGTGTACACATATTTGTGCACTAAATCAAAAAAAAAGTGTTTACATTTCTACTTGCCAATCATTTTCTATATTTTCATCACATTATGATTTCTTTCCTCTAGATATTACAATTTAATCAGTTAAGACCCCCCTTTTTTTTAAAAAAAATTTCACTTTGTTATAACATTTGGTTACAGATTTCATTTTATAACAGAATTCTATAGATATTGAACAAATAATAAATACTTGATCTTGATCTTGTTAAACATTTGATCATAATGGGTTATTATGAATAGGTTGGTTAAGAAGAAAAGAAAACACACACACACATACATACACAATCCATATAAAACGTTTAAATAACAAGTTTTCTTTTGTGAAAATTATTAGTTACTTTGATTTATTAACAACAACAACAACAGCAACACCAACGACGGTAACAATAAAAATTATTCTTTACAATGAATAAAGGAGATAAATATTATGGATTTTATAATGAATTATTGAAATCTTCAATATTATTCATCATTTTATGCTTATTTCAAGGACAAAATTTTAAAGTGAGTACATTCTTTTTTTGTTGTTGAAAAGTTTCATAGGTTGTTTTCTTCATTGTTTAACTTGGATTTAGATTTCTGAAAGAATATAAACATTTTATCAGAATGGGTTTTGTGGAGATTTTTTAGAAAGTTCACTAGTTGAAATTATGAGTCAATTGAAGCTAGATCATTATGGAAAATCTGGAAGCACTGGACGGCCGTTTCGTCCTAGTATGGGACTCTTTGGCAGTGCGCATCCACGATCCCGAACCTCGCGGGATTTATTGTTAAATATAGTTTATAATTGTAAAGTTAAATGGTATATGAAATCAAACAAATCTTTTCATAATGTAGTAAGAAGATAAAGATTATTAGAACGATGTGATATATTAAAACAATATATTTGAAACAATCTGATCACAGCACGTTTACATATAAAAATATAAAAGGTCAACTAGACTAAAAATGGAGAGTAAGTGGGACTAATTGTTTCAAACAAATCTTGTTTTTTTTCCGGTTATCATATTTGAACTTGTTCAGGAGAATTGAGAATTCAAATAGATAGTGACTTGTACAAATTGAATTATTCTGAATTAAGCCTTTCCTAGTAATAATCAAAGTATACAAAGAACATTGGAATTGAATGTGAACGATTAGAAATGTAACTTATCATGAAACTTAGGATAGACTGAATTAGAAAAGATATAAACTTTAACAGTTGCAGTCATTCACCTAGTGAATATCAATAACATCGGGGTTTGTAAGTTATGGAGACGAAAATACATGATTATTCGACTTACTGATTAGACCGATTATATTGTTAATTATTGTATTATACTTTGTGTTTTTACTCAAGATTGAGAAAAGTCTTATTAATGACTATCGAGAAGCTTGAAGCTTCACTTTTATCGACTAGAACAAATGAGCAAATGCTGACTGCATTTTACAAGTATATTTAATTAGTTAGGTTAGTGTCTAAGTTGTAATCAGAAAGATTAGTTCAGCGAAGAGTTCTCCTTTTGGCGAATTCATTTTCAAAGCTGTACAATCGCAAATATATATACTTATTTTTACACCCTGTAAAAAATTCGCTGAACTAATCTTTCTTTCTTATTTAATGTCATAATGGGTGTATTCCGTTTATTAAGTTGTAATCATCAGTTAATTTATTTAACTGATATCAAAAAGTAGAATACATAACGTTTTTCTATTGTATATCACATGAATATACTTAATTTAGTCCTATAAAACGCTAATGAATGCTTTGAAACTTGGATGAAAATATTATTTGTTGCAAACCTGCACTAAATTATCCATATTTAAATTATTTTGAAGGTATAGCAATTCTAAATTCAATTGGATTACATAGACAAAACTTTAGTAATAGTTTTCACGTAAACATCTTCTGAAAATATTATTATGCATTATAATATAAAGGGTTAGGTTTAAGTGGCTGATCATTTTCAGTCCTAAACATCAATCGAAAGATTTAGACAACCAGGATAAGTATTAGGTTTAAGTCTGGAACTATTATGGGAATTTATAATTTAAGAGAATGATTTCTTTATTTTATTTTTAAACAACGTGACTGATCTCAATATGATTATATGTATCAGTTTATTGTAGTAAAAGATGAGTGATTTTTGTTTGCATAGTTGCGTACAACTGATCATTAAATCACTAATTGTTCTATATAAAATATATTTATCTCATTGAAATCATGAACTGATTCATGTTAGACTAGGACGAAACAATCATCTAGTACTTTCAGGTTTAACATGGATCAATTCATGATTTCAATTAAATCTAACCATCTCCACAACGTCAAATTGAAAATATATCTATTTGTTGTAAAGCAAGATTAGATAATAGTTCTATGAAGTTAAGAAAACAATAGTTGCATGTTTATCAAAAGCAAAGATAATTTTATTATAAATATAATACTAAGATTTTAGAACAGACTTTCAGTCCTTATGGTTACACTAAAAATTTCATTGTATTCTGGGAAAAATTATTAACTTAAAATCTATTCTCTCAGTTGTATTAAATAATGTAGTTAATGAGCATATAGAGAGACCATATATAACTGTTTATCAAAATAAAAGTCTAGTTGGATAACCACACTTACTTACTTACTTACGCCTGTTACTCCTCTTGAAGGAGCATAGGCCGCTCACAAGCATTCTCCATCCAACCCTGTCCTGGGCAATCCTTTCCAGCACCTTCCAGTTGTTATTCATCGTTTTCATATCTGCTTCTATTATCCGACGCAATGTGTTCTTTGGCCTTCCCCTTTTTCGCTTCCCTTCAGGATTCCAAGTTGGGGCTTGCCTCGTGATGCAGTTTGACGATTTGCGTAGTGTATGTCCTATCCATTTCCATCGTCTTTTCCTAATTTCTTCTTCAGCTGGAAGTTGGTTTGTTCTCTCCCAGAGAAGGCTATTGCTGATGGTATCCGGCCAATGGATGTTGAGTATCTTGCATAGACAGCTATTTATAAATACTTGTACTTTCTTGATGGTGGTTGTTGTAGTTCTCCAAGTTTCAGCTCCATACAGTAGAACTGCCTTGACGTTGGTATTGAAGATTCCGCCTGTAGCTCGGTCCCAAGCCCGGGTAAATTAGGAAAGTTGGGCGTGAGGTTAGCGTCCCCATCCCGTAGAAAACTAACTCGCTAAAAAAACGCTTACCGGATAACCACACTGAAACAAATAAAATAAACCTTCAATTTTATTATAAAGTTGTTTATTAAAGTTTCAATGAGTCTTTTACATTGAAGATGCTGGTGATATGAGAAATTTATTACGTTTTATAGAATAGAATTAAAGAATTTGTATTTAATTTTCTTGATGGATTAAATGTGTTTTATCGTTCAAGTCATAATTATTCAGTGAGCTAATATATAAGTGAAATATGAATTACTTATAAGTTATCTGATATTAGGTTTCGCAAAACGTAATTTCACTTGCTATACAAGTTTCAAGCTTTGCTCAACACAAAAATCTTGTTGGCCATATTGAATACTGGAAGAGAATAAATCAAATATTATACAGATGGATATATTATTATTTTAAATCTGACGGGTAAATGCTAACTTGATCCGGGATTGTATTGTAATCGGCAGCAAGCGTTCGATGTTGAACATGATGTTACATTATCATCTTCGTCATTGACATAAGACTATTACATATATATAAACTTCTGTAGACCTAAAACACTACAAGCTTATACAAGTTTATGAAATAAACATAATGTTTTTATCAAATCCGTTTATGAAAAAAAACACTCATTTCAGAATAGACAACCTACGTAAAATGTCTGTTATAATGATTGAATGAACCTATTTCTTGTTTATAAAAATAAAATAGTTAAACAACTTTTTAGTTTTCACTCAAGTTTCAAATTAACATTACAGCATTCAATATACCAGCTGCTTTTAAATAATATTTCCCATAGTAGTAACATATAAAACACAAATGTTAAAAGTGGGATAGTTTTATTGTTTAATTATATTTAATTAATTAATTCTATAGTTAGAAGAATACATAATAAAGTTTCACCATAATTTATAATGATTTGATCTATGCATCTGTATACTAAAATGCGTAGGTTCGTTTGCAAAAGAAGATTAATAAAGATGATGACATATACATAAAGTTCTTGGTATTAAAAGTCAAAGTAAACTACTCTCTGAGGTGGAATTCAGTTAATACAAAAGTTTATTCACAGTTTAACAGTTTACTGATGTTATAGTATTTTATAGATTACAATCATTACTTTTTCAAGTATACAAACCACTGCATATGTACAGGAATGCAGTTGATTAACAGTTAGAGATTAAGTGTTAAATGACATACAACAGGTTCTAATCTAAGTATATTTGCGCATCACTTTCAATTTCTTCTTTGAAGATGCTTGTTTTACAATTTTCTTTTTGTTTTTAATAGCTTTGATTTTCTCTTATCTTTGTCTTCAATCAACAAGATAATTAACATAATAGAAGGAATTCTCAGTCTTTCATTTATTCACTGGCATAATGTTGTTTACATAAAGGAGTGTGAGGTATTATCCCACTTGACTAAATTTAACAAAATAACATACTATATATATATACCCGGGCTGGACCAGGTTAAGCTGTGGGTTTTGTCAGATGCTGGCTCAGTGGTCTAGAGGTTGTGCGCTCGCGCGCGAAACCGGAGGCTCTGGGTTCGAATCCCGCGAGCGGGATCGTGGATGAGCACTATTAAGTTTAGACTATAGTATTCTGATCTGCAGACGCCTATGCTTAAAATACATTTCAGAAATTTCAAAACTTTAATGATAATCTTATTCATTTCTGAAAAAATACGAATAAACTTTGACAAAACTTAAATTTGGATAGTTGGCAAGTATACTTCAAAAATAAGTGAGAACGCATATGTATATTTATGCATGTTTGACAGTTGGAAGCTAACGATTTATCGAGCTTAGTAATCACGTCGCAAGTTTGATGAATAAAACTTCATTAAAATTTAAGGTTAGATAACTTATAACTCTTGTTTAATTCATATCTCGATATTTGTACTAAAGAAAAGTGTGGATTTAAACTTTTCACTATAGCCTACTTTAACTTTTATCCTTTGTAACTTACATTTTTTTCTGATAACCAGGAAGGCTTAAGGAGCTGTATACATCTTATTTTTACAAAGCAAATTCAGTCATTGATTAGACATCAGTACTTTAACTTATATTATCATAATTGGTTTGAAAATCACTCTGCTTAAATCGTGTACATTTAGTCTGACTTTGATTCTTGTGTTTGTATCAATGAATCATACAGTTTTCTTCGTTCTCCTTTTATCATAAGAACTGAGAAAAATATCGCCGACAAGTACTAACACACTGCTTTCATCTAAGCTATTACCCAGTAAAGTATTGGTAATTTAATTTTAAAATAAGTGAAAACAATATGTATATTCATTTTAGTGAATGAAGATTCATCTGTCTACAAACGATTTGTCAATTGTATTGAGTTTGAATGTATAATAGTTATTTACATAACAATGAGTCATAATATGATGCATATAAATGATGTACAAAGCTACTTATTGAATAATACTACTCATTATCATTACACTTACATTCTCTTTTTGTTTCTAAGCTTCACTCAAATACATCATGCAGATTTAGCAAGTGTATCTGGACTGTACATTCTAAGATAGTATCGATTATAAGATTTATTTAATGAAGAAGTATATATATTTTAGCTAAATGATTATAGTTCAGTTATGCGTATCTAAGAGTTTCTTATTCAAATTAACTTTAGATAAATCTTAAAGTGTAATTTCATACTTAATGTATTCAAAGCAATAAATGTTTCTATGCTATGAACATCTGTTATTTAGTACTGGATTTCTTGGTTATTATCACATAGTTGATAAGGCTATCTATAGAATTAAATATAGTGCAGTATTAAGCATATCAACAAAGTTTATTATGGTCATCTATGAATGCCGTTGACAATACATTTCAATATCTTCAGAACTATTTAAAATCATTAAAGGGACTCACTGATTGAAAGGAAAATACTAGATATCTAAAATAGAGTTCATCAATGAGTTTTGACTATTCTACGCTTACAAACAGAATAATATAACTGAATTACCACAATAAAATAAACTTAAAAAACGGTAATTATATTTCATGAATAAAGTGTTAGTATAAAATAAAATGTTGTCATGAGTTTATACATCAGTTTTTCAATGTTCAGTAACCGTGTGGTGTTATCGTTTTTGGACATTTCTGTTAACTCAAAGAGTAAGAGTTACATATGAGTGTAACTTTCACAGTAGATTTCTCCTTAAGCATCTGAAGTTATCCAAGTTTATCTGTCATGAACAGTGTAGTATCACTCAAAATGACGGATAAAAAAACATATATATTAAATATACAAAGTGCTATTTTCATGCTATAATAAGTAGATATTTATTGTTGAAATCGCTCAAATAATATCACTATCATGAGACTAGAATGGCTTGATCATCATCTTGAAAAATATTATATCTTAAATTATATAAAAGGATAACTAGTATCATATTGAGATGTGTTCTTTTATCTGATTTATTCATAAACGGTCACTTATAACGTTTGACCTGTCGAAATATATGTATATAAGACAAAAACAGATTCAGGAGAAATTTCTGTTTACTTAAGTGAACGATGAATAAAATTTTCATGTATTTATGGGTATTTAAATTGACTCAGAGAGTTGGTTTGTAGGTGGTTACCATGATTAGGCTAATAATTTATTTATTCAATGAAGTACGTTCACACGTTTGTATGATTTATCAGGAAACCTTAACATAGTGCCACTTGACATGTCTTCAGTTGTTAATTCACTTTTAGTTACTGATTGACTTGCAACAATAGTTTTTAGCAAAGAGTCTGAATAATATTTGTTCAATTCTCTGAAACAATATTATTTTCTTCATGTTTTAAGATAGTTTTTGCTGATGATTTAACATAGAACTAGATTACTTATATAAATGGTCTACAGGACAGAGACAGTTCACTTTTAATATCTTAACTGAAATTTGTCAGTTAAGTTATGCATAGTGAGAGACCTGATCTTAGCTTTTTCTTCATCATTATTTATGGTTTCTCCTGATCAGACACTGGAGTTTGATTTGTATGGATATAACTTAAAAACTAAACATATGTAGAATGTAGTTTGCTTGTACTAGTTTGCTATTAGTTAGTGGCTTCAAAGTACAAAAGTTGGTGGAATACAACTAGCTAGTGCAATACTATGAACTAACTAAAAAACCAAAACACCAAAATTCGGTTGTAAGTACTCACATACTTTTGTAAAAACAACTTGCATTCTAACTTGAAACAAATACTGTTATCTATGCTTTTTCGACAATCTGATACATTTGAATTAAACGATACTCATTCGATCATTCCGAGGTTATTAAGTGTTCGGAATTGTGTTTACGATCCATGTTATTTCGCCATCTGTTTGTACAAAAAAGGTGTAACAATGACTTAATCAGTTTCTCTTATTGTAATAAATTTATTCATGCATTCCTTCGAAATTTGTGTGAACATGTTGTATGCAATTCCGCATAAAGTTTAGTTACGGTATGTAATTAAAACCTTTGTCATTATCAAGAGAGATGATTTGCGATAAATATTTAAATGTGTACACAACTTATTGCATTGCATTAAACTAACCAAGAAAATAGAATCTGTTGACCATAAACTAGCTTTTTACGATTGTTGAATTGAAAGGATACATAACATTAAGATGATAATTGGTGTACTTCTGAAACAAAAATGCAGGGAATATTCAGATTATGGATCGATACGTGGATGTTTTTTGAAGGTCACAGCTGTGAAAAATTTAATTAATAGAAGCTGTAATCTCGTTACAGTGTGAGAAGACCAACAGATTGAATTAAATTTAATTCTGTCTACATTAATGGCAAAATCTATACTAGAGTTTTTTTAAAGAAGAACGTGAAAGATAAAAAAAGATACTGTGTTGAAGTGTAAACCGAGAGAATTGAAGAACACTCTGGTGATCGAATTCGGTGCAAAAACATCGGCGAAAATCAACAGGATTCCAAATGAATATTATATATTTCCTGGCTAATGATATCATAAGATAGACTTTAGTTAAATTCAATTATAGACTATCAAAGGAAGAGGAACAAGATGTTGTCTATGAGATTAAATGTCATGAATGCACTGTGATTTATGTGAGAAGAATATCTATACAGCTGAATGTGAGGTTGAAAGGACACGAATATTGTTTGACAGATGTTCTTTAATCGTAGGGTGAAATCAAGAATAGCACTATATTTGTCAGAAGCAAGATCCAAGATGAACCCTAGAGGGAGTAAAATAATTCAGAAAGGATCTGGTGCGTACAAAGAAAAATTTAAAGTAGATGAGCTACATATGAGTTAATCAGAACTGTTTGATCAGAAAAGAGGGAATACAGCCACCTAGTCCTTAAGAAATGCTTATTAAAAAAATAATTCGAATCTTATCACTACACGTAGCTTTATTCATATGAAAAACTCATTAAAATGTTTGAAAATCACAACTATGTATATAACATTTCTCATTTTACATACATTTCTACATTTTAAAACTTTTAAATTTGTACTATTATTCTTTATTTTTTAAACGAACAAAATAATTAACAAAGATGCATAGTGGTTCGCAGTGGAATCTAATACACGCGTTTCGTCCTATTTGGGACTGGTCAGATGGATGTACCTGTGTCTCAGAGTTGCTATTCACTCCGGGACTCGAATCCATTACCATCCGCTTCAAACGCCATCCCGTTATTCATTTAGCTACTGAGTCCTGATAGCCATTTGCTTGTGCAATGGGGTGAAGGTTAAATTCACTTAGTGTTGTTTTACTTGTATCTTCCCACTGTTATTTAGGACTGCAGTATGTTCATCCTATGCGGATTGTCTCAATATAGCCTTAAGTCACAAGCTCTTTAAGCTTGGTAGTAGACCGACGTCGAATTTTTTCTTTTTTATAACTAAGTTTTAACGAATACTAGCATAAAACTACCCATACACATATGTACTTATTCACATTGCAAACTTTTCACATTATTCACATTTTATTGACTCATATTTTCCTACTCAATAAAACTGACATATGGATGTGATTAGATAAGCTTTTATTGTAGACTTAACTGTTGAACATAAAATATTCATCGACAGTTTTAATTTTGATGATAACCATGAAGGAACTTAGACAAGATTGCCGGACGAAACACTGAATTTATGCAATTCTCTATTATTGAAAATAATACATTTTAAATGTTTAGAAGACAAGAGCTTTTATATGTCATCTTTGAAATTTTTTATTGTGAGTATACACAAAATATTAAGTAGACTTATTATTCCTCTTATAATTGCCAAAAGGCAATAATTGTTAAATGCTATTAAGTTTTTTTTTTTAAATAGTTGAATTCATGAGTCATTGTAAGATAGACAACCATTGGAAACCTGGAAGCAGTGGATGACCGTTTCGTCCTAGTATTAGACTTCTCAGCAGTACTCATTAACGATCCAGCACTCGTGATTCGAACCCAGGACCTCCGATCTCGTGCACAAACGCTTAACCACTACACCACTGAGCCGACATTAAGTTTGTCTTACGTAGCTTTTTGTTACAAGTTAACTGTGCGCGACCGGTAATTATATAAAAGCTTCATTATATAGTTATAGTAAGTTTTCTTCTTTAAACCTTAATAACATTAAGATTAACTGTTTCATTTTATTTTAATTTCACGCTTTGTATTTCAGATTGTTCAAGGTGATGTCTTATTTCAATTTAATATAATTCCACATAACTTATCGAATTTTTTACGGTTGTTTTCATGTAAACATTCGGAAGTTCATTCAATAGATCATCGATTTAATAATCCTCTTGTTTATGAAAAAGATGATAAATTACTTTCACCGTTTTTAGACAGCTGTATTTCTGTTAAAGTGAGTTCAGATAACTATAATATGATTTGTAACTAACATTATTATTACTATAAATAGAATGATCTATTTATTCAGTCAAGCTTTTAGTTCGACATTATTAAATATTGAAGCTACGAAATAAAACACATACTCTAGTAGTCAGGGATTTTAAACTTTTAAATGAAAAAAAAATTATAATCTCTTGATGCTTACAGATCATCTTAAAAGGAGCGATATGCAGTTGAGATTTCATTGAATATGAATGATTTTCAGTACCAAAAATTGAAGTGAGGAACACTTAAATAATGAACATATTCGTTTTATTAGTACAGTTTTGAAATTTTAATTGTCATGTTTTTAAGCAGGTGACAAGATAGTTGAAAATTACAATCCCTTTTCACCCAGTAATACTTCTCATGTGATGTTTAACAGAGATCTGTAAAAAAAATCAATGAAAATCTGTGAAAACTAATGATATATATGGTTAAGCAAAGATAGTGACTAGCAGTGCAATCCAGGACGCGCGTTTCGTCCTGTTTGAGACTCGTCAGCTGGATTTACCTGCACCTCGGAATTGATGTTCTCTCCGGGAATCGAACTCATTACCGTGCACTTCAAACGCCATCAAGTTATCCACTTAGGACTTAAGTGACTTAAGGCTATATCGAGGCGATCCGCACAGGATACACATATGCCAGCAAGAGACGGATCAGTTGCAGTCCTAAATAACCATAGGAAGATACAAGTAAAACAACACCAAGTGGATATCTTTAGTTGTTTATTAAATTAGTGGGATATAATTGAGTTTTGTAATAAAACAAACTGATCGAATGATATTAAAGATGAAATATTTTTCTGTTGAATTGTTTTACTCAATAATAAACAGATTTAGGGAAATATGTTCTATCCAACGTATAATTTACCATAATTTATCAATCATACAGGGTGTTAGTTTTTTTGTGATATTCCATCTTATCCTTTAAATTAAAGGTCATGAATCAGTTTATTAAGCACAAACGTTCCGAATTATTTCAAAATACTATCTGTGTTTTCCGAGGTCTTGATATTAATTGACTAGGTCAAGTTTCTGATTTAACGAGATAGAGTTCTTGTAGAAAATCGATCCGATTAACGTTTTTGATGGACTCACATTAATTATCATTCTTCCTGTATTTAAACTTAGGAATAAGTGGATTTAAATAGTATTAAAAAAGTTATTAAAGCGTAGTTTCAATTCAATAGTTAAGTCGATAAACTTGGTCAATCACTCGATCGATAAATAAACAGTACTTCAATTACATTTTTTAACGACCATTTCAATAAAAAAAATAATAAAGAATGAAGATGCAACTAAGCAAATTTTATGGACATTCATCGGTGATAATATCGAAAAAAGGAGTCGGAAACTGATCTATAAGGCATGTTACCTCTCGTGGGGCATTAACCATCAATCACGGATCTCTAGGCAAACCTAGATATACTCCCCTTCACAGATATTTTCGAGGGCTTTTTATCGCCTTCTGATCTTCAAGACCGGGTTTTATTTGGTTTGTCTCGTTTTCCTCTTCGTTGAGGATTGCAAGTTGGGTCTTGCTTTTTGATGCAGTTTGATGATTTCCATAAACTGTGATCTATTCACCTTCAGCGTCCTTTCCTAACTTCTTCCTCAACCGAAAGCTTGTTTTTTTTCTCTCAAAGGAGACTATTGCTGATGGTATCTGGTCAACAGATCCAGAGTATCTGGTGTAGACATTTGTTCTTAACTACCTGTACTTTTTTATGGTGGTTGTAGTTCTCCAATACATAGTGCCCGCAGTGTCGAGTCACCTAGACTGGTGGCCACATTGCAACACGATCGACAGCATTCGATCTGCACTAATAAGGACTAGACAAGCATGACACTGATCACCACCCAGTGATCAATCAATTGTGATGACATCTCAGTCCTACAGGAGGATAGTCACGGCTCGGATAGCTCAGTGGTAACGTCTCTGACTGTGAATCTGGGTGACACGAGATCGAATCCGCCAGGGAGCACCAGTTCCCTCAAGATTACAGGTACACCTTGCTGACGAGTGCCAAATAGCACGAAACCCGGGTCCAGGGTTTCCTGTTCACTAACTCCAACCACCATCTAAATCTCAATACATAGTGCCCGCAGTGTTGAGTCACCTAGACTGGTGGCCACATTACAACATGATCGATAGCATTCGATCTGCACTAATAAGGACTAGACAAGCATGACATTGATCACCACCCAGTGATCAATCAATCGTGACTATCTAGGTATGTAAAAGCTTTTACCTCTTCCAGAGCTTTGGCATTAAATATGATTTGGTCGTTGTTCCATTTGTTGTTTATTAAGATCTTACTTTTCACCTTGCTAGTGAACATCTTTAAAGAATCCTTGAGGATAATTCCTTTATTAACTTAGTGCTTTGGAAATTCGTTTACAAAGTTTGAACCATAAAACAATTTACTTCAGCGATAGCTTTCCAAAATCGTTTTTTATCAATCCTGTCCTTAACTCACAAAAATATGGTATTCAGAATTGATCATTTTTACTAATCGATAAATAATAAAAATTGTTACGGAAATTTATGTTAAAGTAATAGAAAACTCCGGCATAAACCATAAGTGAAAATAAAAGGTAAAAAAAACTAAATGTTCACATGAAAAGCATAAAATTGGTCTACAACTAAAAGTAAGTTACAAGTAAACAAAATGTATAATAACATTGTTATGAAAAAATTTGGAGGCTGCTAATGCTGTTATTTCATGGATAAAGTAATATGCATGTAAATGATTTACATTTTGAAGATTATTATCAGAATGGGGTTTTTTGTGGTTGAGTTCATGAGTCAATTGAAGCTAGACCACCATGGAAAACCTGGAAGCATTGGACGGCCGTTTCGTTTCAGTGTGGAACTCCCCAGTAGTGTTCGTCTACAACCCTACCCCGCGGTGTTTGAACTCAGGACCTATTGGTCACACGCGCGAGTGCTTAACCTCTAGATACTTTGTATTTGATAAATTTATTTTAAACAGGGGTTTTTGTGAAGATTTTAGAAATTTCACTAGATGAAATTAGTTTAAGCTAGACATTAACGCCGTTGGATGCCGGCTCAGTGGTCTAACAGTTAAGTGATAGGTCCTGGGTTCGAATCTCGAGGGGGACGGGATCGTGGATGCGCATTGCCGTCCAGTGCTTCCAGGTTTTCCATGGTGGTTTAGCTTCAATTGACTCATGATTTCAAGTAGTGAGACTTATTTTTATCTTGAAGATAAATATTTAAGAAGGGTTAGTACCAACTTGGATTCAATGTCCAATATAATTAATATTATTCAAAACAACTTTTTAACAGAAATGAAAATATGCAAACATTATTCATAAATATTATTCAATATATTTGTTTGAATTTCTTCTATTATAGATTTGTTTGTTACCATTTTCTGATTTATGGAGCTTTAATGATTTTACACATTGTAAATATGGAGTCACAGCTGAAACACTATCGAAATCAAATTTTCTCGGTAATTACACCAAAAACAACATATCAATAGTGTATAAAGATGTCTGGCCTGTAAGTTCATTTGCTACTGCTTGATATATATATATACCTTCTTGTGGGTATCTTAGTAAACACGATAATATTGGGTCAAACATTTGCAACCAGTCACTCTACTGATGATTAACTTAACAAATTGATTACTAAAGTCCAGTTTACTATATATATAATGCAACAAACATGATGTTCTTTCACTGTTTGATCGCACCTGGATCTAGGCGTTTGAAAGCTTGCAAATTCTTATACTTTAACAACTTTACGTTTTTTTTTTCGGTTGGCTCCTAAAAAAGAACAAACATGAAATTACACTTTACTCAAACAAACTGTTCTTGAAGTTTGCAATCGTAATGATAATCCAAGTCATAAAGAGGAAATATTATTAATTAGACCTAGTGTAATGTATTTTTTTGAAATGAAAACATGCATATTTCATACTTTTTGTGGTTTATAAAGCATGCTGAGAAGTAATTAAGAAAAACATAATTGTTAATTCTATTGGGTACTAAAAGCAAGTGTCCGGCGCTTTAACTGGGTTGGTTGACGCGGACAGTTCACCTACGGGAGTTGAAAAACATTGATTCTAAACCAATGGTGCATGTCAGCTCCAAGATCCTAAGGGAACAGATGGTGTATGAACCAATCGTTGGTCACTGGCTACCATGGCATTTAATTTCCTGACTTGTGGATCAGACCTTTAGGTCAAAGGCTTGGGGATATGGTCCCTTAAGAAAACTACCTGCTTCCGTCTGGGCACCCGAGCAGTATCACATCCCACACACAAATCAAGTGACTTTTATGGTCTGCATGTATTCGGTGCTCTTCGTACCAATATTTATATGTTCAAATAAATAAATAAATAAAATATAAAAGATGGAGCATTAAGCATGAACCTTATCTATTAAGAAATCATAACTGTTAAATAATCAAAAAAGTTATTTATTATCACTATACTGTTATTGTCTTGATTATCGTAATTATGTTATCCGATGATATTTGAATAATTGAATATTGAATATTTCATTTACAGGTAGATATTTTACTGGTTATTCAATTCAAAATGTGTTGCATGATGAATATAAATCCACGTAGGTTTATCAATATTTATAATAAAATGGAAAAATTATAGTAATTCTGAAGTCCTTATTGTTAAACTCCTTTATAAGTAAATGAAAGTTGAAATTGAACAAAAAGAGGAACATCTTTTTTTGGATTTAAACAAAATCTTTCGGAGTTACTGCATTATAGTGTGTCTTTTATTCATACACTCTCGGCTGAGATAAATAAAGATATTGTTAATGGTCTAAATTTGTTCTAAATATTTTTATTTGTGGTTCAATTTAGTTACTATGCGGATTATTATCACTTGACTAACTTAATCAAACCGAGAGAAAATGGGATAGCATAGAATGCTATATTGAAAAAATTGAATAATTGAGTACTTATAAGTGACAAGATAAACGTAGAGATGGATATATAGACGGTGATTTTAATAGTATGAATAAGTGACTCACTCAGTATAACTTACATTTGCTTAGATCTTACGTCCTGTGATTTCTGTAGGTTCTCTCATTATATCAGCTATTAAGGATCATATTCTCACGAGTGTAGCACATAGCTTCCTTCTTAATTTTAACGAACAGCTCCAGATACTTATTTGTCAATAATAATTGTTCGAATTACTGACGTTGTATAAAACTTATAACATAATAATTTATTGGCGAGTGAAATCTTTCATTTTTCAAGTATTATATTCCCTTTAAATTCAAGCACTAACATTTCTAAGAAGTTAATAAGTATAATTTGCTTTCTTAACTTCACCAACACATAGTTGAGATCAATTTTGTAGAAAGAATCAATAGGAACCATAGGACACAGAATAACTATTTTGTCGTGTTCTAAGACTCCTTAGATGTATTCATCAGCAAACTTATACCACGTCGTACCTGTGACCTATAAACGCTATAGAGAAAAAAGATCATTGAGTTAGAATCCAGTACTTCATATTTCAAACCAGGTGGTGTTTAAACGTTTCAGACAAATCCAAAATGTTTATTATCTACGAAAAGAGACGTTTATTTTTCTAAAACTTGAATTTAATTTACACTGTGTAAAATATTGAATTCTGAAAAAAAACTTTACCATTCACCTAGCCTTCTTACTAATTAATTTAAAATGACAATGTAGCTGAGAATATCTTGTCGACTACTTCTGTTTGAATGTTATAGTAGTATCACTAATTATTGTGAAAAAATATTGTAATTGAGAGCCAAATGAATAAAGATATACCTTATTACCAATTCATCATTAATAATAGATATATCATTGTTAAATGTTAGAAATTCGAACACTTCACTTCTATCTGAATTTTGTGCTGATGATGTCGTTGAAAGATCCACGACCAAATCATCCAGCTCAGAGAACAAAACTCCACCAAATATTAGAATTATTTTTTATTTAAACTTTCTAATTGCTAACTGAGTTAGTTTCTAACATAATTTGAACTATTAAGAGATAACAAATATAAGTGAACAATATTGTTTTCTATTAGGTCCTCATCAGGTTTTACTGTAATAAACAGTAATACTTATATACATGTACGACCTCGTCTCTTACACATAGCAGAAGCTATATGGATTCGAGCCAACAATCCAAGTCATTGTGTTCATAAGAAATTTGTAACACCGTTATCTCTCCTTTGGCCTTGATAAATGAGTTTATCTATTATTATTTTCAATACTCTTTGTTCGTTTATTTTTCTCCACACCCACCCTTTTTTCTCTCAAATATACGCTCCACCGTCTAATTATCTGAATACTTCTTATTACGCAATCTCACTGCCTATATTTTTCTAATCATTGACCTATCCCCGATTATGTAACATTGATTCTTATCAAAACTAGTACACCTGTCATCACACTAACAATTTTTACTTTTCACTTATTATGTCATCTTTTCCATTGTTATCATTGACTCATAAACTACCTTGATTGGTTTAGTAATATTGTATATGCATATAAATATTACAGTATGTCAGAGCAAAGCCTGATGAGGATCTAATCTAAAACAATATTGTTTGGGAATTTGTATGGGAATTTTTCAAATATTAAGAGAAATTAATGATCGAATTTAGTTATTGATTACTAATGAATTGGTAGTTTATTTAAGTTCCTTTATACATCTTCTCCTTTGTTTTTGTTTGTTTTACAAACAACAACCATTTTGAGACATTGAAGAAGAAGAATGTATTTTCAAGGAAAAGCTTGAACCAGATTGCCAGATGAAACGTTGGATTTACTTCAAATTCTTTCGCTGAGATTTTACAAATACCTGTTCTTCCTCTTTAATGTCTCACATTAACTCGGTGCCCAAATATTGTGAAACTATTCCATCAAATTTAGACGAAAGTTCTTATTTTTTACTCAGCAACCATTTTGGGTTTCATTAATGTTTCTCTTACTAATTTCATTACATGATTTTATAGTTAATTCCAGAAAGATAAAAAAAACATTATATTACTGTATATTTTATACTTAAATTCTAGAGATTAATGAAACATATTACATTTTATCATTGAAAAATGTACATCCATCAAAACAGAAATATGATCAAATATTGAAAAGAATTCATAATACTACTTATTATATTACTAATTCAAGTAGTCAAAATGATGATTTAAGTATTCATTATCAAGTATTATGTAATAATAATTTCTATGGTAATTATTGTGAAATATTTTGTCAAGAACAAAATGGTATTCATGGATATTATAAATGTGATGAACAAACTGGTAATCATATATGTCAACATGGTTGGAGTGGTAATACATGTACCGAAGGTGAGATAATTTAATATAAAAAGTTAAAAATAATATTGTACATAATTAAATTGAACAAACGTTTAATTATTATGCAAATATTCTGAATTGTATTGATGCTTTACTATTTTCTGAAAACCCCAAGGTAAAGTAATTGACAGATTTTAACTTGATCTCAATTAATAAGTTTCAAGTTATCTAACTGATGATTTCCCTTTAAGACTTGAGTATTAAATCTATTTCATTTTTCTGTTACCTACCAAAGGTTAGCATGAGTGTCATTTAAGTGGAAAATATAGGAAAACATTTTATTATTTTATTATATAGAACTGTTTAGTCACATAATCTTATTGTAATCCAAAGTGTAAGAACGATAGATCATGTAATTAACATGATTATCATAGTAAACATGACAGTTTTTAATACTGTATGCAAAATGTCAATATGACAATTGATTGATCACTGGGTGGTGATCAATGTCATGCGTGTCAAGTCCTTATTTAGTGCAGATCAAATGCTGTAGACCATGTTGCAATGTGGCCACCAGTCCAGGTGACTCGACACTGCGTGCACTATATATTGAGATTAAATGGCGATTGGAAGTAGTCGACAGGAAACCCTGGATTCGGGTTTCGTGCTACTTGGCACTCGTCAGCAAGGTGTACCTGTAATCTTGGAGGAACTGGTGCTCCCTGCTCAATGGTAACGTCTCTGACAGGGAAGCTAGGTGATATGGGATCGAGTCCGCCAGGGAGCACCAGTTCCCTCAAGATTACAGGTACATCTTGCTGACGAGTGCCAAGTAGCACGAAACCCGAATCCAGGGTTTCCTGTCGACTACCTCCAACCACCATCTAAAATGTCAATATGTTTGTTATTCACTTTAATAATAATAATAAATTAAAAGGAAGTACTGTGCGTTAGTAACAACTATATTACATTGACTTCTTCTATAAATTACAATTTGAAATAAGAATTAGTGTCAAAAGATAAAAATGATTATTTAAATAAACTCTATTTATTATAAACAAAGATGGATAGTGGCTAGCAGTGGAATCAAGGATGCACGTTTCGTCCTATTTGGGACTCGTCAGTTGGATGTACGTGCATCTCAGAGTTGATGTTCACTCTGAGACTCGAACTCAGTATGGCAATAACGAGTTAATACGCACAGTATACACATATGCCAATAATAGACTAATCAATTGTAATCCTAAACATCAATGGGAAGATTCAAGTAAACAATACCAAGTGAAACTATTTATTATAATTTGTAACAATTAACTCTTTTAGTCTAATCACACGTAATCATTATTAGTCTATGTAAGAGAAAATGAAATATTTCCATGTTATTGTAAATAGTAAAATATGGTGTTTTTAAATCGAAAATTTCATCTTTTATAAAGAATTGAACGGTTTCTTAAATTATTCTCATAGAATTACGTTAAGTTCATGGTTGAGACTACTTTAATTGTTATCAAGATCAGTCATAGTCTGTAATTAGAATACCGATATAACTAATGACACTGATAAGTGAACAAGTTCTAGAAAAAGATGTCCTACTAATTCCTTTGTTACGTAAATAAATAATTTACTTAAATATCGTTTTCATCTAAAAAATTAATTAACTAATTTTTGAAATGTGTTTCATTATTTTCTTTTGTAATTTAAGCTATATGTGACTTTGGATGTCTACATGGAAGATGTATAAAACCGGGTTATTGTCAGTGAGTTTTAATGTGTGCATATATATGTTATAAATGTAGCTTTATAGTATTGACTTTACAGCTGATTCGTAAAGTTATATTGATAAATTTTATATCTTAATCTTAGAGTTATACTATCACTGTATTGTCTACTTGAAAGGTTCATTTACTGAATCTCTTCCGGAAATAACCACATTTATATGATTTTACTAATAAAGTTTTAAAATGTTACCATTCAATTTGATTTATTCTAACAATATTGTTTTTCTACACGTCTAGTTGTGATAGCGGTTGGTATGGAAAGGATTGTAGTCAATGTCATGTTTATCCTGGATGCCTTCATGGTGGTTGTGAAGTTGGTAAACGTAATTATACGCTTATTCCTTTCACATGTGAATGTGATCATGGCTGGGGAGGCATGTTATGCGACAAAGGTAAAGTAATTATATATATAAACTTGATTACGAGAATATAAGCTTTTACTAATATTTTAATCCATAGAGCGAAACACAAGAGAGATGACTGAAAATAACCATTATGATGACCCAGAGATAAGGTTAATGTTATACTGTCTCAGGACTATAAATTTTAGTTACAGAAGTGTCCAGTTCATTAATTTCGTACGTCTTTACATTTATTTATCTGTCACAAACATCCACCATACTCGTTTCTATCCTAGATTATAATGTGACGAAAAAAAAGCCTTATTTTAGGTAACTTGTCGTAGGACTACGTCATTGTTCAATACTGACATTAAATTGTTCCTGCTTTTCAATTTCATGACGTTGATTTAGCTCAAAACTCTCCTTGGTTAAAATATATGTATCTGGATTATTGGACTTAAGTAGTTAGTGTGACAATTAATACATTTACCTCAACCAATGGGAAGCGGAAAATGTTAAGCACACTAAGGAATGAAATACAAATGTCCATGTAGTCTATATGCTTTTTGGTTAGTATCAAAAAATTATGTGACATATGGTTTGGGGATTTAGCACGAGGCAAAAAAAATGTAGAAACTCAAACAAATTAACATTTAATACTAAATGCATACAAATGGTCAGATGGATAGGAAAATATTTTGCTTTAACCACATATTTATATATATATTTACATTTAGTGAATGTTAAGTTTTCTTTGTTCTATGGGATTTAGTATTGCTTAATCATGAATAAAATATCAAGTCTACTAAGTTTAGAATTCTAATGTGATTTAAATTTTGTTTTAGATCTACGTTATTGTAGTAGTCACTTGAATATTTGCAATAACAATGGAATATGTGTAAATAATGATGTAAATATTGGTGTACCTTATCAATGTATTTGCCCACCTGGATTTCATGGTGATCATTGTGAAATAATTGATTATGACTGTCAAGTTCATGGATGTAATGAAAATGGAGAATGTATTGTGCATGAAACGGGATCGGTAAGTTAATTGAATATTATTATTCATAATTATTAATTAGATGTAATATAATCTATTTAATCTAACCAAAACTGTACATTATCAGAGGTTTTCCAGGTTATAATTTCAAACTTTTCAAAAGAAAAAAAACAAACAGAAGTATTCCAAATATTTTTATCTCTCTAGATCACAATTAATTTGTTTTTAACAAAAATAGTTCAAATTTACTATACCCTATAAATTAAGGGTTAATGAATGAGTTTTTATTTGAATAGCCTTATTATTTCAGTTAAATTAAAAGATACCAATTTTTATATTCATTTGATAAAGAGAAATGAATTCAAAGGGCATCTGAAAAAAATTAAGCAGAGTAACTGAAAGTTGATTATGTAACGCCAAATTTTATCACTTTTCATTAATTAGTTTTTAAACGAATGTATGCAAACTATTTATTTTCAAATTTCTTATAAAAATCCATATTGTACACTTGATGAGGTCAATATAATTTGTTATTATGGTATAACTAACAATTATATAAGGTATATTGTAATTAGGGTTGGCAATAGCATTCAAATTTGAATGGTTTGTTTCTTTGTAATTATCTTCGAAACAGTAAACTTTATAATTTTCTTACTAATTTTTGTGTTTAATCATTCTTCGAAAGAACTTTTAGATTAGTTTAATTTCTTAACAGTATAACTCAACTACGATATAAAAAGGTTGATGCTCTCTTTTATAGTTACATAATAGCCATTGTTTATAAATTAAATTAAGCCTATACTTTAACTGATTACTCGGAATTATCATATTGTATAGACTGTAATTTAGATAAATTTCATCAGAAAAATTACCATGTCATCATCAGCTCCCACAACTTAATGTTATAATGCATTTCGTTTCATATTGTGTTATTGGAATCGGTTGGCAAAAAACCCTCAAGATAGACATGGTGCCAGTTAACACTTGTCAGAATGTATATGTAATTAAGAGGAAATCAATGTCAAGTATCGGATTAACGCTTTTAGTTTTATAACAATGCTTATCTAAAACATTGTTGCATCGAAATTTTTTTGTATTTTGCAGTAACAATAAGGTTATATAGATTAAAGCTGAGATCATTGAGTGATGTTTCGTGGTCTATATTATGTCCTTATGCCTTGTGAATATATCACGTGACTAAATCGCCAATTAGTACATCGACCTATATGACCTTGGCACTCCACCTGTAGCTTTTATAGAGTTACTGCCGCTCCCAAGCCCGGATATAAGAGGAGGGTTAGGCATGGAGTTGGCAATCCCATCTCGTAGGAAAAAATATCGCTAAAAAACGCCAAACTAATGTCACATAAATCAGTACGAGCAAACTAGAGTCAACTCTGAGTCCTTATTGGATCTCCTTGCCTAGTCCTGTCTGTTTGAGTTCAGAAAACAATTTCAGCTCCCGTTGTATGATTCATGCATTTCATACATACTTGTTCTATATACAAACAAACGAGACAGCATTATGCCATAAAACAGAAAACAATAATTACACAACATCAAGCCAAAAGTAGCTGTGATTGTGAGATACTGTAACTAATAGATTGGGAATAACTCAACAATAGTAAATCGTATAATCGTAGTCAATAGGTCAAATGGAAGCTTATAATAAAATGAATATGAATATGCATACAATATAGTTACTTAATAGTTGTTCAATGAGAATATACGTAATAATAGTCCACAAATAATTCTCAGAAGATACCATTCATTTATTCTTTGTTAGGATATAACAGTCTAGTATTGGTTAAAGCATTTGTTTTTAAAAATTTTGAAAGACGTACCAAGCTTCTAATTTATTATATCTGAGAAAGTCAAAGTTTAATGAATTCCCTTCCTTTTCTAACTGATAAAATTGGAAACTGGAAAAGGGCACTTACAACAAAAGGAAATGTCTTTACATGGACATAGTTCTGTTCGAAAATGAGTTGGTAGAAAAATCTATAATAATATTTTTTGTTGTTTTTCAATATTTCAGACAACCTGTTACTGTCACCCCGGTTATCATGGAAATCTTTGTCTGTTCAACCAAACAACCTGCGAAGAATTTCCATGTCAGGCAACAGGGTCAATATGTAAAGAACGAGCAATGAGTGATGTACGATTTCCTTCAAATGACCAACAGTTTGTATGTATCTGTCCTCCAGGATTTGAAGGTTCTAACTGTGAAATTAACATCAATGAATGTTCTGAAAAGCCTTGCAAAAATGGTATGTTAAATCCTCTTTAACTGACTTTTCTTTGGTGTGATAAACCATCTGTACTTTATATTTTCGACATGGTATATAATAAATTGATTTTAAATTTGCTTAACATTAGAAAAGAGATATGAAAGAAGAATGCTATATTCAATGAATTCACATCTAATTTTACAGTTGTGAGTCTAGTTCAGAAGAACAGTCGGGTTTACGATAAATAAGTTTTTTTTTTAATGCAAGATTGTTAATGGAAATAAACTTGTTACCCTTTGATAAAATGCGATAAAAGGACTAGTATGTAATGTAAACTTTATTCAACTCGTGGATTAGTTAAAATTGAGAGATTATTATTCAAACTACACCACATTATTAAGGGTGGTAGAAATAATGGAGTAACTAATAACCTGGTCAAATGTTCAATCAGACATAAAAAAATTCTTCAGATATTGATGTTAATAAAGTTAGACGTAGTATAATAGAGTGAGAGCTAAGACAGTTTGTGTAGAACTGACGATTTATGTATAGCGAGTGAATGAACCAATTTAGTTAAGTCATATTTCTACTCCATATTAATATTTTCAAAATTTTTCTATAATATTCATGCTTGTAATTGAAGTAAATTAAGTTCTTCAGTCATGTTATACAAATTCTAATCGAACATGCAAAAATAAACGGCTTTATATTCTCATTAATAATTCTTATGGAAAGACAGATTGATTATACAACAACTGATTAACATTGAAAGAGAAGGAGCTATGATAACTTGTCAGCTTAACAGAATAAATTCAAAGGAAGCAGAAACCAATGATATCAGTTCTACAAATGTCTACAATGAAATGAATCAGATTATGATACACTTAGATGATCCTGTCTTCAAACAAAATGATACTGACTTAAAAGAATATAAATGATATTCATTTTTATTTGTGAGTGAACTTAATCCTAAATGTTTAAGTAATGTTTCATGGGGGAATGTTATAAGTTTTTTTTTCAAAATATATTGGATAGATAATTCGAGTTCTAATGGATATATTTCACTTACCACTAAATATCAGTAAACATTTTGAAATGATCCAGATGAATTTAGTATACATAAAGATGAATGTAGAATCTTTTTTATGAAATGAATTAGTGGAATATATCGAATCTTCAAGAAAGTGATTACACTAGTCCTAAATTTATCCAATATAATTAATTTGCACCAAGTCAATTTTCGTATTTTTAAGTTATGCAAGTGTAGTGGGTGTATATCAGATGTTTTATTTTGCTCTTCATCATTTGAATTCCAGGTGGACTTTGTAAAGATGTTGTGAACGGTTATCAGTGCATATGTCCGTCTGGTTATAATGGAGATAACTGTGAAACTCAAGAATACAGCTGCATTACAAATAAATGCCCTTATGGTTATGAATGTTTTACAAACAGTACAACATCATTATGTGTTTCCTCAATTCCTCATAAGTTAACAGCGGTACATTCCTCAAACAATCAAACAAATTCTGGAATATCGTTTGAAGATATACAGCCAACTTACTTAAAATTTACACAGTTCTCCCATGGTCCCTCAATTGTGATATTTACTCTATTAACTCTCCTCATTGTAATTATATCACTTCTTTTATTGAAATATGTTTTAAAGTTAAATGCATTCAGACAAATCGCTTACTATAATCATGAGTCTGATGTTGAACTAAATTATGTTCGAAATTCAATGAACACAAGAAGCAATTTTGTATTTAATCAATTCAAAGAACTGAAAAACAGCTGTTATTTGAATAGTAACTTGTACATTGATCACGTAAATAAATTGGCAGACATCGAGAAGTGAATATCCTCAAAGAAAAAAACTTACTGTATAAATTAAACACACTCATTTAGATCACATGAACTAGATGAAAATAAATTGGTCGTAAAATATTTTTATGGAGATAATAAGCCGCTTGTTTATTACTAGATATCATAAGTAACTTGATGCTGGATTGAAATCTACATCAAATTGGAGTTAAAATGTTCGAGAAAAATCTACATTTAAGAAACATTTAAATTATGCTACAGAACAAACAAACATATATGGTCGCCATTTTCAGAGTATTTGACTATTTATTAAGGGTATATAAATTAATTTTCATAACTATTTTAACTTCCTATTTAATTTACATTGTTTATGGTTCACTCTTATTATTAATGAATTTACTCAGGTTATATAGGGGGAGTTCACAACCATTCAAAAATACTTAATTCGATAATTTCTCTTAAAATTATAGGGCATAATTTACAACATATTATTGAAGATGTTAACCACATTCATTATAAAGTTTAAGTAGTTTTAATACCAGAATAATTCTGATACATATAACATGATAAAAATAGTGACATCGTGATGGGCAAAGGTATTCAAAACTTCGGACTCACTTGAAGGTTCCAAAGTGTTTAATAGTGAGAAATTATCAACAGTGATAACAAGTTAAAAGAAAATGAGAACGACAATTAATTGGATTGTGAGCCACTGGGATTAAAACACGTTTAATTTGCTGTAATTGAGGATGTGGTTACCACAATATTATATGGAAACAGTAGGTTATATACAACACCAGACCGGAATCTGAAGTGAATTGGTCATACGGTATTCTTATATGCTCAGCTGTTACTTATAATTTGAAATGCATGTATTTTATTAGCCGTTTTACATGTTGCAACTTTACGTCGGAAAACGAGAAATCCGCGTTTACAAGGCTCCCCTATTTAGCCGTTCTAATTCCTTACGCTTCTTGACGTAGTTCATAGCTCAGTATTGAAGTGATTTTTTTCAATTTGTTCCAGTCACATTTTGGTCCTGTCATCTTGTAATCTGTCACGATGCATGTGGTTTCTATATGATGACTGAGACCTTAATCCTAGGTGTCACAAGTGGTCTTATAGATAAGATGGTTCAATAATGTTTCGAGGAGATTATGTAAAACCAGATATGTCATCGATACACGGCAAAGATTTTGTTCTCTAAAAAAACCTCGGTTTACAACAGTAACACCAAATGGTCGAAAATAATTGACTAATTGGATTAACTAACCTACTGATTATCATAAAACTTGGGTAAAATAAATAATTATTTGACGGAATGGTTACTCTTAATTGTATTTTGCAAACAGAATTATTCTTCAGACACAGTGCATGTATGAGAGTGTCAAAAAGAAACCACCCGTTAACACACTGACTCCTTTCAAACTCGCAGTAACTAGAAAGCGTCTACTGCCACTTGTAATGAGGGAGGACGGCCATAAATAGGGTCAGAATCCCCATAATTCTTCAACCATTAGATCAGTTTGAAATAGTGTAATTAGGTTTCTAGTGTTGGCGTGTGAGTTTTCAATCCATGAAATCACAAAATACATCTGCAAGTTTCGGTAAAGATGTCTTCGAATAAGTATGTTCCTTCTTCAATAGGAGGTCTCACGAGATTAATAATTTGAGTGAGTCCAGGTTATTGTATATACGAAGTAATTCCCCAGTCTACCTCAGATATAAGGAATCGACTGAACCAATAAGACATTCTTCACATTTTCAGAAACTATTGGTGAATATTGATAGAGTTTTGTTGAATTCACTGTGAAAAATTCAGTCGTTGTGGATTTTTCTTTTTTGTCCTGAAGGATGATTTGAAGATACTGGATCCACAAGATTTTCAGCCTGTAGTAGCTTCTTGGGTTTCTTTGAACTAGATCAACTAAACTTCTCGTATGTTGGAAGTTGTTTTATTACATCATCTCTTCAGATTGCTTGCCACGGGTTTCAAGTATTTCGAGGATCACTAGGCTGTATCTTCTCTTTTCTGAGGCTAGTTGAATAATCTTCACGATCACCTACATTGTCTGGACACTTTATGTACCAATATAAGTTGTTGCTGAGGTTTTTAGGATTTCTGTCGTAGTTGTGACTTCATAAGAATCTTAGATTACGTCACTGAGCGTTGTAACTCCCGAATATGAAAACCTTTCAACACTCGTCTCGGAAATTAGGTGATTTAAATAAGTTTAACCGATTGGCATTTCTTGGTTATTTGTTGTCACATAAGGTTAGTAAATCTACGTTTAGTCATCCTGCTTCACCACGTCACAATATGGGGGGGGGTTGTGATTTGTAGGGTTCGAATTATTTGACACTTTGGAAACAATCTCGTACGGTGAAAAGCTACGGTGATTTTTGTCCCCAAATTGTTTCCTCTGTTTTAGAAATTCTGTGGGATTCAGCCTTTAAGTTAAAGGTACCACGGATATTCAGGGTTTGACAATGCTTTATTTTGTAACACCTCTACAATCAAACGCTATCAACCGAGCCGAATCAGAATTCAAGACTGGAAGAGTTCAACTTTATATTTTGATGTCATTTCGTATATCGAGAATTGTTTGATCCGAGTTGCCTAATTGTTGCAACTGATGCGTTGCACGGCGGACCGAATAGAGATCTGTTGCGAATGTGTGATCGAGTACCTTCAGTTAGTATGCGTGCAACAAAATCAATGAGGTTGATATAAATGTCAAGGACTTATAAAACAACTTGCTCTTCATATGGTTTAAATTTGAGTCCTCGAACTGATATTGTGGCTCGCCGATGGATACGTTCCAGAGTGTCCTTATTCTTTTGGAGTGAGGGAGGAAATACTATGTTTCTGTACTCTAAGTGTAGACGAATAAAACTGTTGAAGATTATATGGAGTGTTCTTCCGTCAAACTGGTCAAAAATGCGCTTCAATGTTATCAGTGCAAGGTTTGCTCGAAAAGAATTTTTGTCACAGTTGGCGTAAGACTTTGAATCGTAGGCCACCAGGACCCCTAAATCTTTTTCAACTCGAGATACTTCTAGAGAGGAGTTTCCTATGTTGTAACTGCAGTCTGCGACATGTTTCAGATGGACTCCTTTACACTTTGAAGTGTTAAAGGTAAGTTCGTTATCGTCTGCCCAAATTTGAAGTTGAGTCAGATCCTCCTGAATTGCCTGTATATCATCTTGCTTGCGTATCTCCCTTCAAACGTTGTTTGCGGAAATTTCTCACATGTTCTGGATTTGCAGCCATCGAAAATCACATTTAACCGTGTTATGTTTAGGTAACGTCGAAGTGCTCGCTTAGTCATTGGAGCAGCCCCTAGTAAACATAAAGTCTGCTGATATGTGAAATTAAGGAATAAGTAACAAACGATTTGCCGAGCATACAGAAACCTAGATTTGGGGACCACTTTCGTGCACTAACCAGTCCCGGTTCTACAAAACCTAGCTGGTAGAAACCTAAGTGGGCAATGTGAAATGCTTTCCATCGAAATCCATACGTTTTTCGTGTCACTTAACAGAATATCAATAATAATACTCCTAAAACAAGCTGATAATCCATCTAGCCTTCCCTGCTTTTGAAAGAGACACTAAAAGCAAGTCTACTTTCTAATGTCCTTCACAATCTACTTCCAGATTCTTCCGACTAAAACCTATGGCTTTCCTAAAGTAACCGAATCAGATGCAAAATGTTGCAACATCAACATTTAGATTTTGTTGTCAGGCTTTTTTATTTGCATATCTGCATAGTTTCCAACTGTCATCAATTAGTATGAGAAGAGATTTTCGTGGATGTTATAGTAACTTCAATAGTTGAGGTTAAGAGTCCATTGAAGCTAGGCCACCATGGCAAACCTAGAAACACTGGACGACCGTTTCGTCCTATTGTCAGACTTCTTGACAATGCACATCCACGATCTTGCTTTGCGAGATTCGAACCCAGAACGAATTGGTTTCACATACAAACTCTTAACCGCTAGAACACTTAGCAGGCATCCATTGGTGTTCATGTCTAACCTTAACTAAGTTATCTCATAACATACCCGGTTAAACTGTACTGGTCGATGCTTCTTACTAAAACTTCGGGAAATACCTCTTAAAGCAAGTCACCAGTGAGCATATGCTGACTAGTTTGAGAAGGAATTTTGGGGATATTATACTAATTTCAGTGGTTGAGATCATTAGTCAATTTGAGTGGGACCATGGATGCGCACCGCCGAGGAGTCCCATGATAGGACGAAACGGCTGTCTAGTGCTTTCACGTTTTCCATGGTGGTCTAGCTTCAACCGAATCATAGTCTCAACTACTGAAATTTTTATCAATTATTTTAACTACCAAATGAAAGTGGCTTCTGCTTGTTATCATTGGCTTTATTGTTCTCTAAGCAGTCACTTTCCTCCCTATTCTCCTTTTTTACCAATTTCCTTATATACTCTTTATGTCTAATCCTAGAAATACTGACAGAACTTCGAATAAATACAGATTTATGAAACACTAGGAGTTACGGAAGATATAATCCTCTATTTATCATAAGACGGCTTGTATTCAATTTATTTACATAAATTGAAATAAGGAAATACTCCAGCTAGTAGAATAAAGCTTCAGGACATCTAGAATGTAGGGTAGCTTTGGTTTGTTTTTTCGCACGGATGATAGGTTACTTATGCTTAAGCGCTCATATTGACGCTCAGGTTATTAATGGAAGTTACACGTAGAATAAGTGTTCTGTCTGACTTTGAGATCGGGAAACAACTTGGTCGTGGGAAGTTCGGGACTGTTTTCCTTGCAAGAACAAAGAAGTCGCATTTTCCATGTGCAATAAAAGTATGTTTTTCATCTTCACACGAATTCCTCAGGTTATTTTCAAAAAACAGATTGTGAAGAACAAACTAGAACACCAAATAAGACGCGAAATAGAAATCATGTGTCATCTCCAGCACCCCCACATTCTTCAGCTGTACACATATTTTCATGATCACAAGAGAATTTACCTGGTTCTTGAGTATGCTTTTTTAGGTCAAATGTATACTGAGCTGCGAAGGCTCGGACGCTTTAGTGAGGCGCGTTCAGCCACAGTAAGTTCTACTTTCTCTTATAAAATTCCTAGTACATATACCAGCTTTGTGATGCGCTTATGTACTGCCACCGGATGAAAGTAATCCATCGCGATATCAAACCTGAGAACTTACTTCTTGGTTTTCATCAAGAGTTGAAACTATCGGACTTCGGTTGGGCTGTTCATGCTCCATCACTCAGGTATGTACTTATGAGTGTATTCACCTCTGTTTATCTGTCGTTTGTCGAAGGGTCAGTATATTGTGATGATGCATTTCTGTACTTTTGATTGGCTACTGGAATAGAAAATTTTAGTGAGACTATGATTCATAGACGACCCTTGAGCAACTCTTGAGAGTGGATGCCTACTGATTAGGATTAAATGAGGGTCATATAGCAGTTAGAATTCTCATTTACAGTTGATAGTTAGGGTCAAAAATTAGATTTAGGCTTTTCACGTACTGACATCAGCTATAATGCCAAAACTCTAGCCAAGTGTATGGATGAATTTCGCGCCGAAATTCGTGACTCATTAACTTATATCTTACCGGTTCGTCCATAATTTATAGTTTCACCGTTTTGATAAACTTTACAGCTGATTTTGTAACACTAGTTCGATAATAAACTGGTTTCTTCAACCTAAGCCAACAGAACAGATTTGTAGGTGATAAGTTTCAAACTCGTTTTCTTGTTAAACTTCTAGTAGTCGAGACGTATTCCTTAATATATATTGATCATGAACAATGATGGAACTTCTGAACATGTACACCAACCCATCTTCACACCACTCATCAACACAGATAAACCATATTAACTCCAAAGGTGTGAGCTGACTGCAAACTGGAGGTTAAAATATATAGAATGAACGTACTTACACCACTACAATTGCTATTGTGTTGTCGGAGATTACCAGTCATAGGTTGTGTTTATAAAGTGGAGTTTCGCACTTCCAGACGTGGCTCAGTTAAGTAGTGGAAAATTTCTTAAACGTGTCACATTTTGGTAGTCTCCTAAACGTTTGGAGTTCTATACTATCCACCTTTCCCTGTCAGAGTTTATAATGGCTTGTCATGGGTAACATCAGCTACCTCAGGGAAAGTTTGAAGCTTAGTCTTCCACTTTTACCTGGTGACCAAAGCCTAACCTCTGCTAATCATTCAGCAGACATCACTCCCTAGCTGTCCCTGAAGGACCTGCTGTCAAGTTCTAACAACTTTGATACGTATTTAAATGATATCAATATGATAAGCTTACGATCTTGAACTTCTTCAGTACGATGGTTCAGCATGCGTAACGGACTTCCCATTGTCCCGTTATTTCGCATATTGTAGTCAACTTGACATTACAGTCGTGCAATTGCATCATTTGAAAAATTACCCCGTTCATTGTATTACTGTTATGATGCATTTGGTATTTTTCAATTAGGAATAATAGTGAAGGGTGCATTTTAGTCTTTTGGGAGTTTCTATTCTATTTTCCTAGTCAAATACCATGCTGTTTTTTGTAGGAGACGAACGCTTTGCGGAACAATAGACTACTTAGCTCCAGAAATGGTTGCTGGGGTTTCCCATGATGAACGTGTGGATCACTGGACTGTTGGAGTTTTATGCTATGAAATGCTTTGTGGTAAACCTCCGTTTGAACATCCTAATACACAAGACACTTATGCCTGTATCAGAACTGCTAAATATACCTTCCCTCCTGTTATAACTCCGATGGCACAAGACATGATATCTAAGGTATTTTTTTAAACGTTTTGTACTTTTAGTCCCCTTTTTAGATGCTTATATATGAGGTGTATCAGGCATTATTTTTTCGAGGACTCTAGTGAACACAAGCAAGTAAATATAAATTTTCTAGTGAGTCAACTCTCGACTGTAGCCATAATTAAGACTTAAACTAAGTGGACAAACAAAGATGATACTAATTAAAGTATAAGGAAATGATCTTGAAGTGTTTGGCTAGGTAATTCAAGGGACTACTGTTTATGGGGATAAAGTCCTTGAAATAATAAATTTCAGTAGACAGTAAAGTAATTTTTCTTTTTTAAATCCATTTATATCTTGTTAGGATCACATTTTTTCCTGATCTTTGGGTAAATAAATAAAACCATACTGATTTTAGTTGGCACCTTTAGTTGTATTTCCAGAACATACTTATCTGACCGTATTGGAATCATCTTCAGATAGCTCTTGGATCAGACTAGATAATTGTCCATGATAATTTATCTAAAAAATAATTAGTGAGAAAACAAATTGTATACTTTTCAGACTGCTTGTGCTCAGTAGTCATATGTAGAATGTTCTGTGAAACTATATTAAGCCAAGTGTTTTACATAACATATTAACGTCAAGTATTGGGAATCAGGATATAGCTGAAATTCTCCCGATGAGTTTAGCTTTACTTACTAGTTGTACCTTGAGCATTACGTGGAGTCTGTTTTATTAATATCTGAGGAGTCTTCCAATGAAGATTTTCGACCATTCACCTTAAACCACCACTTCACTTCGAAAGTAGCTACGCTGTAATATGTTAAATAGTGTTTTGAAACTTGATAGTTATCTGTTGCTTATTCAAACCATATTAGTGAAGCCTCCTTAAATGCCACCTTATTTCTGGTTGGAATAAATCATTATAGATCCATTAGCAGCAGTTTAAGATTGAATTGTCTGTGGTAGTAGTAGTTTACTGTCAAATCATATTGTCTCATCATTATAAGTTCATCGCACACAACCTTTTTGATTTAATAAACAACATCAATAATATCCTTTAAGTGAAACTTGATTACTTAACTTCTTTCAATGGGATGTTTTTAAATAAATACAATAATATTATCAGTAATTCATGGTAAAACAATTCTCAGCAGTGACAGTCGAATAATCTGATCTGGACTAGTCAATGTTAGACCATTTTTTATTCACTTCGTTGCTATCAACAAATACATGTCCAACTACGAGCAATGGTAACGTGTGATTGGTTCATAGTTTTGAATAAACTAGGTAGGGTTTAAGAGCCTACGAAAAACGTTCGTTCTCTTTCATGAGTCATTTACAAAGTCATTTGTTCAGTTCACTGTTATTATTTATTTATTTCAACACAAACATTGGTACAAGGAAGCACCAAATAGATATGTACCATATAAATCATTCGATTGGTGTGAGGGCTGGCATACTGCCCGGGTGCCCAAACCGAAGCAGGTGGTCTTCTCAGGGGACCACACCCGGAGCCTTTGACCTAAAAGTCTAATCCACAAGGTAGTGGAGCAACGTAAGGAGATTCAGTCCCTTGGTAGCCGGTGACCAACAATAGGTTCATACGCCATTTGTTTCCTTAGGATCCTGGAGCTTATATGCACCACTGGTTTGGATCAGGGTTTTCCAACTTCTGTAAGTGGATACGGAGTATACACCAACCCGGTTAAAGCGTGGGACATTCGCTTTTTGTCCTCTCAATTTCGTAAACAACATCCCCGCCGCGATAATGTGGTGATTAGGACTTCTCTGGTAGTGACTGCATACATGTGAGAGCATTTCGAGGAGAGCTGGCTCTCCCCACTCTCGGCCATACCAAGGCATTTGGATGCGTTCGCTGTTATGATCTTAAGCTAAGTGTTTCACACAATATATGGTAGATAGTAAAATACTCAATGCTACCTAAACCACTTGCTATTGTGATAGTCGTCTAATGAAATTTGGTCACTCTACCGGTTTACTCAGTTTCTGATATTTTAAACGAAACTTCTTGAACAACTTAAACTTCTGGTGTACTTCTAAAGACAAACATTTGACGTTGTGTTGTCAGGTTGTCTTGTTCTACCAAACATTTCATGTAAGAAGCAAGTGTTGAAGTTTTCCATCTTAATAATACAGCTAGTTGTTGCTACTTTCTGTTGAGAGTTTTGGGTCAAATCCGATAACGCATTTAATAGTCTTATTACCACATTCTAAACTCGTGGTTGAGTTATAATAACCAGCGTCTAATTGGTTTCTTAATATTAGGTGGAAAGTGTTTCTAATGTAAATATTTGTAGGATACACTTATGGGTAATACACCTGTAGTTATTTGAATTCTAGCCCTGTCAAAATCTCAGTAAATACTGACATCTGTTAGTTCAAATATCGCTGACAAATTTAGTGTATATTGATTTAGTTTCATGTTCACTTTGTTTTCATCATCTTTCAGTGATACATTTATTTATAATATCTTCACAGATCCTTCAACGTTATCCGACGGATCGGTTGTCCCTAGAAGGAATCATCTCTCACCCATGGATTCAAAACTTCGCAAATAAAACTTCTTTCCATTCTACTGTTAAGCCCAGACCTAGATCCTGATGTGTTTTCTAATCGATTATTCTATTTTTCTTATTGTATCTCAAAATATGACAATTTATTTTCCAACGTTCATTGTTGTCCTCCTGAAGTATGTTTACTTCTGTATCTGGTTAGTAATGATCATTGAGCGCTACCTATAAATTCACTTATCATTCGATTATGAGTCACACATTATTTAGCAAATGATGATATTGCTACACTAATTTAATTCAATTGATTATCTTCACTGGATTATTTAAATATATGTATGAGTGAAAGTCTTTTGCTCACCATAACTCTTAAATTCTGATAAAAGTTACAATTGTCTGCAAAATACGATGATTTGGTCATGGTCTAGAAGCCACATCCTTTTGGTTTGCAAGTCCATCTACTGACTTACTTTTACCGTATAAAACGTAACTCTTAACCTCAGTAATACCTACTATGTCTCATCACATTCAGTTAATGGTTTAAATATATTTATGACAAAATACATTTATCTTCCACCTTCGATGATAGCAAAGTTTTGACCACATCGGTTAGCGAAAGTAGCATTTTTCGTCTTACTGTCTGTTTCTAAGCTCGTTATATCTGACTAGCACTGGACATGAGATCTACTTCCAATTCTTACTTTAAGTTAAAAGGTTTGGACTTTGAGCAATAATCTATTGTTGGTGTTATAAGTGTTTTCGAGGTATTTTAAATAAAGTGCCCACTTCCTGAGGTAGTAGTGTTATGTGAATATTTTCCTAGTATTGACGGTCATCCTTTGGGATGCGGGGTTCTGATTTCTTCGGTGCATTAAATGTGGATTTAGTGGAGGATTTTGATTTATTTTCTTGCACACTTTGTCGGTGTATTTGTTTTTTCTCACTTTCAGCTTGAGTCATTTCATCTGATGTAGGTCTAATTTTTCCTTGGTGTTTTGACTGCAAGTCCAAGTGGCCTAAAACAAACATGAAAATCAAGTAGTGACAATCCATTTGAGTAATTAGATTTACTGGAAATTAATGGATTTCATCTGAACGAGATGTATGTGGTTAAAGAAGTACAAATTATTCGTAATGAAAACACTGCAGCACTCAGAGATTTCGAAACAACCGGTTATTCTTCAAAATCGAAGTACATACGATAACAGGCATCACTTTTTAGAAGAGAAATCAATTGCATCTGGATATTAGAATTAGTAACTAATAGTAGGTTTTTTTGCATTGACTAAAGTTTACTGAAATTCTAGTGTTATTAAGCAGTAAGTAGGAGAGAGGTACGTATTTCCAAATCACACAAGGTTCGCCTGGTTTGGCAATGAATGTTCATCAAAATTCACATATTTTAGAGAACACTTGTTAATGGTGACATTAAAATAAACATTTGTAGTAGTTAGTCAGATTCGACTACTTCATATCCCCAATTGTCTTGTTTATCCTTTCTTTTAATCAGTGTAAATAATCCAACCATTTTTTATCGTCATTTTCGATTGGCTAAAAGTTTTAGTGGACAATCAAATTTTCGTCCAATAATGATTCTTTATGATCACAGACAAGGCACCGTCTTATGGTATCTCTCCAATGTAGTGAGATAATGTTCTGTGACTATTTGGCTCTATGCATATATGTCTCAGTTTCTACTTTGCCAGTGATCAACTGAAGGTGCTTTAGGGGGTAGTCGTATTTGTTGTCTGAGGCAGTATCTACCTGCATCAGCTTATTTTTCGTATAGACTAAGACCGTAGTTTGATTTGAAAATTAATACCATAGAATATGTATAATATAGCTATGAATTTTGATTTATTGAGTTAAATTGTGAAAGTTGGCTTTTATATGAGTGCTTTTAATTTAGGGATAACTTTGACCACATCACTACTTGGTGAAGAAATATCCTTGTGAAAATTTAATGTTATTCAATGTTTTATTTTTAGACCATTGAAAGTGTTCGCTCTTTACCTATTTGATAAGATGACTAACAAAGTTTAGTACTGATTTATGTATCATAAAAGAACAGTAACTAAAATTAGTATGTGCGGCTCGCAGTTTGTGATTTATATGGTTGCTTATTTTTCATCACATAATTCATAAACACTTTTCCTTACCTTCACGATGTTGATCCCATAACAGTAGAGCTAGGTTGTTTGTATACGTAGAACTTAACGGTTTAATAGGGATTTGACTCATTGTTGATTTCGAAGAATTTATAAAAGGATAAAATGTATTATAAGGGGTGTTACTAAATGAGGTTGTTATATTGGGTTGAATTGATGTTAAACGGCTAGAAACTGCAAAGTCTATCAGTTGTTGAAGTCGTTGAAATATCATCATATCAGGATTTGGAGAAAATCGCGTATCCACATCCAGCATTCTTCCGATAAGATCCCGAAATGTCCCGAGCTTTTAAAAATAAAACAAAAGCTCGTGTTATGTTAATGCTTAGCAATGTTTTTAGGGATACTCGAACTTCATAGCCTCAAGGAGACTGACAGCCTCCTATGGATCTGAATCTCCACTACTTGGTTTCGTGATTTCTGATGATATCCAGTATGACCTAGAAGTTATGGGACTAAATTTGTACACTAACTAAATACTGGATATTATGCAACACGTTGACAGAATATTGTTTTAAGTAGCTGCATATTAAATTTAGGGCTCATTATTGACTGTTAAAAGTTTCAGTGTTGAATAATTCGTATTACAGTATTAAGTCACTCATTTTTTGTCTGTTATCATTAAGAAATAAGTCCTGCAACCAAATAATACTTAATGGCCTATCAAGAATAATATCACTCGTTTATTGAGAAAATGATGCATTACTTTTGTTCTCACACGCGAGAGTAAGACATTACTATCGATCAATGAAATATCCTAGTGATTAAAATGTTTTTTAGGTATAGCTTTTCGGCATAACACATACTTTAATACTTCATAAGAAAGGCATCAATGAAATCTTATTACTCTTAAAAGCATTTTGGTTACTTCTGCTTTGCATGGAAAATAGTAGGTAAGGTCACCATTCCAATTAAAACTAGAGTATTGTTTATAGGTATCAATGCCAAGGTTGGGCTAGGTAGTTTTGAAAAAATGAGCATTGGGTAGTGAGCGGATGATATATATATTTTTCGTTATATCCCAACGAGTAGAAAAAATGTATTTCTGATGTTTTGCGACTTAGTTTTAAGCCGTTTTTTCAGAGTAAATAAATTACCGGGTAGAATTAACACAAATTGAGATAGTATTATATAAGTAGTATATTATGTCTCAGTATTTTACTAGATTCGTATTTCTTTTTGTCATTTTTATAATTTTTGACTCATTTTCTGTCAAAGTTTCATTCTTACTAAGTATTACATTCAATCTTACTAATTTCCCAAAAGTTTTATCAATGAAATTGCGAAGGAGTAGGATTTTATGCATTACAATGCTTCTGTTAACAATTAAATCTTAATGGTTGAATTCATGAGTCAATCTAAGTTAGACCGCCACTGAAAACCTGGGAGCACTGGATGACCGTTTCGTCCTAGTATGGGACTCCTCAACAATGTGCGTCTGCAATCCCACACTTAAGACTCGAACCCAGGTATTTCGATTTCGCACATGAACGCTTAAGCTTTACTAAAATGAGAATCTCTTCTTTGAATCTTGTTTTATTCCGTGATTTAATTAATAAATTGAAAACAAGACTGAATATTGATATAGTAATTACAGCTAGAAAATTTCTTATTCACTCTTTAATAAATTATATTGTTAATAATTATTACAATAGTAGTAGAATTTAAACTTACTTCTTTCTTTTTAGCATGTACATTAACTAATAAACTTTTTGCCATTTTAAATGCTTCATGTTTATTTTGTGAATTTGAATGTTGTTGTTCAATTAATTTTTGAAATTTTTCCGTTTTTTGTATTTGAAGTTTTAAAGATCCATTCAATTTTTCAATTTGTTTATCCTAATTTTATTATTATTATTATTTTTTAAATACGAAAAATGTAATGTTATAAAGATTTTTATGCAAGAAATTAGTTGAAGCAACTTATTTTCAAGCTATTGATAAACATGAACTTGTAAAAATATAAGTTAATATAACGATGTGAATGAAATACTACGAGCTGAAAGTAGCAAAAAGTACCAAGTGATATATGTGCTTTAATTTCATGTGTTCTATGATGTCGATTTATTTGGAATTTCAGTCCTGTTAGCATTTTACTTTCAAAGTATACCTCAATCATATACTTTTTAAAGTTTTCTTAGATTTTGTATGGAACTTTACTATGTATCTAGTTTTAACAAAGTAATTTTAGTGTGAGTGGTGATTAAGAGTTTTTAGTTTATACAGTAGATTACTAAGTATGAGTCCAATTTTCTAAATGTAGTTTTATATACTGTTTTGGATAACAAGTTAACTAGTCTATAATTAATTGGTTTAGTATATCGCAGTAAAGACTTCTGGTCTATGTCTTTCATTGAGAGAGATGAATCCAGTCAGCTGACGTGAATGGACTGTCATTATAAATAACACTAGTTTACAAGTTATTTACATACTGCGCTTTATTCTGGTAAATTTGAGCAAAGTAACTTATTTATAGGCATAGATGGATAGTGGCTAGCGGTGTAATCCAAGACGTACGTTTCGTTATACTTGAAATTTTTCATCTGGATGTACCTGCATCTCAGAATTGATGTTCACTCTGGACCCTGGGTTTAAACTTCACCCTATCGCACTAGCAGTTGGCCATCAGGACTCAGTAGCTGAGTGGATAACACGATGGCGTTTGAAGTGAACGGCACTGGGTTCGAGTTCCAGAATGAACATCAATTCAGAGAGGTAGGTACATCCAGCTGACGAGTCCCAAATAGGACGAAACGCGCGTCTTGGATTCCACTGCTAGCCACTTCTCATCCTTGCTTATAAAGCTTGTAATCTAAGGCAATATCGAGACAGTCCGCACAGGATGCACAATGCCAACAAGAGACTGACCAATTGAAGTACTAAACATCAATGGGAAGATTCAAGTAACCAAAACGAATTGAAT